AAATATCTTCAAGGTAAGCAGGTGGAAAGAGGAACAAACTAAATGAGAGGGCAATGTTAGCATGAAAACAAACGTAATCTGGAAATTAGACACAGATTTCTTACCCTCAAAGCAGTCCGGGTCTTGAAAAGCCTGCTAATCAGTGCAGAGGGACCAGGCACGACTGCTTTGAGATGGAGCCCAAGCAGCTCACAGAAGAGACTATGTGACACAGAGAGCGAGGGCCAGATCCAAGATCTCCTTTGAGCAACATCTCTGGGAGCTCAGCAATGTTCAGCACAGCCCCGAGGCTGGAATTGGGCTGGGAAAGGGGAGATACCCACTGAGACCAAACTCTTTCTTCCCACTTGCCTTCTCACCACAACATTTGTGCCCTATTCCCCCGCTTCCTTCTTCACACTGAATATTCCTGATGTTGTGACTCCACTACAGATGGCTAAGGGGAAGAAGGTAGAAGTCCACATTTTAATTTCTGGTAAAATTCTCCCTTGTTTTAACCCCCTTTTTTAATTGTTTAGTGCTACCATGTTCATTTTAGGTGCATCTGATTCATTCCTCACTTCTTTACCTAGCAAATACTGAAGTTAATTGCAGTCAGTGTGCTCGCTGCAATCAACAATTTACTCTGCGCTGTTCTCTCACAGTGAGCTAAAGAGAAAGCCTGAGTCCATATTTGAAATCCTAATTCAAATACTGATTTCAGTCAAGCAGTTTAAAATTGCTTTTTGGGAGGAAGAGAAGAAGGAGGGGGCTTGGGGGGAGTATGGTCTTGTATTTGGTAACTGCTATGGAGCTGGAATAGCACAAGGAAGGAAGGGTTTGGTTTTTGCTATCCATAGTAGGGAAATTAATTTAAGGCTGATGTGTTGCTGGTTGAAAATATGTATTAAATACCCAGATGCAAGAGAAATGGATACAGAAAACATAAGAATAAATACAGGATATTGGCTCTTCTATTCAGAGGGCTGATTTCCCAAACCTGGCACATTGGGGATTCACTGCCTGCCCTGATTTTGTGTGTCACTGATTTGGCTAGGATCTAAACACAGAGCTTCATAGTTATTGAACCACTGTCCCAGACCCAGCCAAGGCTGAACACAAAGCAGGCCTGAACAAACCAGCAGGCAGACTACAAAGGAAAAGCAATTGTTCTGCTTAGCAGCAGCACTGTTTCTGCTATGCTTAGCATCGGAACAAGTTAATTTGGGAGCACAATCTTCTTAAAAGGAAGCATTTCTCAGCCCAGCATCCCTAGGTTTCATGCAGTGTTCTTCCCTTTTCACCAAGCATGAGCTGCGGATGTTACTCACAATGTATTTTTTTACTATGCAAGTAGTATAAAACCTTCTGATAAAAATCATCTCTTAAAACCACCGGTTGGCATCTTGTTAAAAACTGAGATCATGTTTGCCTGTCATTGTTGGCTCTTGAGGAAGTTTCTGCCATGATTTAATAAGCAAGAGGAAGGATAACAATAAAGTGCAATATTGAAACAGTAATATAATTTTTCCTCCAATGCCTTTGGTCTAAAGTACTTGGTCTTAACTGACCCTTCAGAAAGGTATAAATAGATCATCGTGAGTAAAAATCATGGCCAAAAAATAAAGAGCAGAGCCTCTGAACACACATAAACTGTCCATGGCTCCATCCTGATTAACGGAGCTTTGGAGACCACCAGTGTCCAGAAACCTGGACAACAGCAGTTCAGCATCCCAAAAGCCATGAGCCCGAGCAAAGAAGGGGCACCTGCAGCATGCAGATTCACTGTGTTGAGACTCCCAGTACCTGGCAGGAGCCAGAGAATCCCTCAAGGCGAACAAACTCCCTTGGCATAGGGGATGGAGGGAACCGTCCCGCCAGTAGCACAGTGAAGGCACCCACGTCATCTCTGCAGAGTGTGCAGGCAGCCCTGGCAGGAGCGAAGGGATATGGCCTTGTCTTTGATGCAGTGACCCTCTTCACATACATTCACATTTCCTGGGGACAGCCAACATAAATAAGAGCAATCTTCAAACCCCTTGAAGCTGTTCAGGGCACCCAACATCAGGCTGCCAGAGATGTAGCCTACACTTTACAATTGCCATTGGCTTAAGCTATGCGCTCCTCAGCTGCATTAGCTACTCCTTTGCTATCCACAGGTGAGCTACTCCATAGCTGCACACAACTATACTTTTTCCTCACATATTTTTGTGAAACAAAAGCACCACAAATTGCCACAAAAGGAGGGCAAGCAGCCCCTCGGACCCACTCTTCCTCACCTGCCAGGGAGCGGGGGATGCTGCGGGAAACACAGAGCGAGAGGGTGAGAGCCCTTTCCCTCCTCTGCACAGTGGCAGAGGTCTAAATTACACTCTGGTCTCATTCAGCAGAGCCAGCCAGCTGCACAAAAGCTGAATGAAGACCTCTGAATCCGGCCCTGCGCGTGGGTGCCGTGCCGGCAGCCGGGGCCAGCGCTGCCCCTCAGCCCTGCCAAGGGGACCGGCTCCGGGGCCATCAGCTGGCGTGGTGGACCAGAGGCACCGAGCCTCCTGCTCGGGCACTGTGCTCAGGAATAAAACGAGGGCTGGATATAACATCCTCATTCAAATAGCACGGTATTTTATCACCAGAAATAGTATCTCTTTTTTTTTTTTTTTTTTTTTTTTTTTTTCCCCAGAGAAACTACTGGCAGAGAAAGATACAACTTAACATGAAAATAGGTATCAGAATAAGGCCCGAGCTGAATAGTCAGTACTCTGCATAATTCTCTTTTCATCCCCTCAGCTTAGATCCTCTCCAAATATTCAGATCAAAGTCTGTAAAGGATCTCCAGCATTTTGGCCATTAAAAGTAAAAGCTGGAACATTTGGATTCTGCCTCTTTCTTATCCCTCTATTTTGAATAAAATCAGCTCTCTGATTTTGACATCAGGCTAATCATGAAGTCTTTGTCCCTTTCTCTTCTTCTCTGTCTCTCAAAGATCAAGGAACTGAGATAGACCTAACAGTAAAAAAATAAATATATTATTTTAAGGAATGCATTCAATTCCCCTCTCTTCTAATATTTTCTACGTGAAACATCTTACTCCACTTTCATCTTATGTAAAAGCATGTAAGGGGAAGGATTGAGATAAAACTGGAAGTTAGGATAAACTATGAAATGAAATTACAGTCATTTAATAGCAAAAGTTTTCAAAGATCCCAGCATGCGTTACACAATGTCTACATTTGAATAATGCATTGTTAGACAATGGACAGGGCCAGCAGAGGGAAGTAGTCTAAAATTATAAATGAAAATTACAAATTAACAGCAAAAATACAGAACAGAAGACAAACCCAACCATGAAATTTTCATTTTAACTCTTGGGGCAGTACAGTAAAAGTGTAGCATATACTCCCATCAAAAGCAGGGAGAATAACCCTAAGAGCCATCTTTCTCAAATCACGGATGAATTCAAATGGGAAGAGGCACGCAATAACAAAAAAAATAGTTGTTAATGCATAAAACTACTGTATGTCTTCCAATAGCTAGACTCAAGAACCCCGGTTAAATACTGACTTTCTTTCAGAGTCAATCAGATAATAAGACCCCTTTGGAAGCACAGAATAGTTAAATTCATCACCATAATTTAATTGTAGAAGGTTATTAAAGAGCACTTCGACTCCCCTCCTGCTTCGGCGCTGCTTTTGTGTATTAAACTCAGACTAATCAAATTGCAGATTCCAAGAGTACTGTATTAGTCATCCCCATTCCTTTTAATTTGTTTAATGGCCTCCTTTTTTCTCCCCCCTCTTGTGTGTGTGTTCTGACTGGCTGTGCAGCGCTTAGGCTCACGACATGTAAATAAAGAATGGATAGGGGAACAGTTCATCGAAAAGAATAAAGCGTGCCTCCATTCTAAAGTTACATTTGATGTCAGCGTAATTCATGGGACGTGTACTGCAAGCAATGGTGCTTATTATTTCTGCTTAACTGTCTACAGACACAGGAGGAGAGGGGAGAAGGAGAGGAAAAAAAAGGAAGAAAGAAAAGAAAAGAAGTCTGAATTTACACTTACTGCTTCAAAAGCCCTTTTGTGCTTCTCCAACTTCTCCTGGCTGAAGATGCAGTATTTTGCCAAAAAGTCGACCGCAAGAGCAGACAAAAAAAGGATAAAATAGCACATAAAAGAATTCTTTCCCCCACTTTTCCTTAAACATTTTTGTAAATTGCCATAAATAAAACTATTTTTTAAAATGTACAACAACATTGGCACAGAAACCTCCTTTTGTAGAAATTTTAATTTATGGTTTACCTCTTGTGGTTTTTGTTTGTTTGTTTGTTTGTTTTTCCTTATTCTTTCTTATTTGGAAAAGGCTTTTCACCTGGCCCAGGGCACAAAGTCAAAGTTAGCTCTGAATAGGAGATGTTTAACCTGTATACCGCATGAGAGCTCCATCCTGGTCAGGTGGTTGTCTGGGAGCGTGGCAAGGGCTTGTTGTTTGTTTTAAATGCCCCAGAAAAGAATCTCTTCAGACCAGAGTTCTGCAGAGCAGAATCCTCTATATATACTCCCAAGTCCAAAAGTACCAATAGAAATGAAATTCCTTTGGTTTTCTCCAGTTGGAAGAGACAGGTATATCAATATAAACTTTTCTCTTCCAGTATTAAGTAGCTATAACACAGAAATTACATGCCTTTTCCTATTTCTCTTTCTTGATTGAGATCAAAGCAGGACACATTGGACCATTAAAAATATCATATGTGATTCCCTATCCTCAAGATTTTTTCACTTGTTTCCATCCAAGACAAGGACCTTGAGTTATTGGACTGTATGAAATTGGCACCGTTTCCTCACATCTAACACAGCATGAAAAACTGATGGAAGTGGGATGAGAAAATTGGAGGAAAATGTCAGGTCATGCCACACACACAGGCTGAGCTCATGAGTTCTGTGGATGGTACTGACTACATCACCTCTGCATTCAGACTCTTCCTAACATTTATTTGTTCCCTTCTAATTTCTTTCTCCATGTCCCTAGGCTGCTGTTTCTGTCACTTCATCACCACCTTCATATGAAAGAAACTCCATATTCACTTCAAAGGAAACTGCCAGCAAATTCAGGACCTGATTGAGAAGAAGTGTTGGGACTTAGCTCTTCTAATTTCCTGTTCATTTAGAGTGAGAACTGAAAAATAAAGATAATAATTTGCAAAAAGGTGCCAAAAAAATTCTGAATTATTATTGTTGTCATTATCATCATCATTATCATTAACATTATTTTACTGTAAAGAGAAACAGAGTGATTCACAGGATTGTGGCAATGCAGTATTCTGACTGGTATCTAAACAAGCCCTCAACATAAATCTCCTGTTTCTTTTTAAAGCATACATTTGTCTTCAGGTTGTGTTTTGGGGCATGTGCAAGAAAGGCTTCTATTGGGAAGGAAGGCTCTTTGTTTTTTTATAGCTGTATCCTGAATAGTACAAAAGGACAAATAAAGACGCCTAAATGACATTGTTTCTTATCCTATACACTCCACATGAACCAAATCTGTACGATAACAAAAACAGCAAAAATATCTTGGCTTTCCATGGCAAAACAGCAACACAGGTTTCTATTTCAAGCACAAATTGACAGATGCTCCAAGATTGTTGTTATCATATGATGTGCTTGTGCTTCTGAATTCCAAACCAAACTACTATACTGAAAGGAATGAGAAAACTATTTTCTGACAAAATTGGTTCTGCACATATCTATCTTATTGGCAGCATCCAAGAAAGATTTAAGTCAAAGAGAACCAATTGCACTAGTGGCATAGCTTCTGGAAAAGAATTGCACCATGCTTAGTACTGAGCACTTCCCCAGGATCTAACACCTATTTTCCCCATAAGAAATTTTCAGAAGTTGCCCTCTTTTGTTTGCAAACTGACATGGGTTTGGGAGATGTAGATGTTACACCCCTCTGTGAAACATCATTTATAGGATGATCTGCATTGGCGCCATCTGGTGATTCTGGAAAATATCAAACCATCAGAGAAAAAGTGTTATGTTTGCTCTTAATAAAAGCTTGACATTCCTTCTCACCAAGTATTTCACAACATTGCAACTTCACTTTCAACTGAGCTGCTAACCAAATAGCTCTTGTAACCATTTTGGGAGGGGGAAGAGGGAGGGTTTTCTCTCTCCCAGAAATGAAGGACCAGGAAGGCAAATTTTAGTTTTTACTTGAACAGTTTTTAAGGTCAGATTAGGCTCTTAGATCACCTACTCTGATTTGGTGAATAACAATGATCAAAGGATGTCACATCCCTCTGTAATTAGTCCAATTATTTGTACCTAGCTAAAGCACAGTTTTCTAGAAGAGTGTCTCATATTGATCTGAAGATGTTAGAATATGGAGAATTCCATAGGGATGTACAGTACATTCTTTCGAAGACCAATGTTTGGCTTACATGTCACTTCAACCTTGTGCTTAATCTCAATGACAGTTTTTACAAGGTTAAAGAACCCTTTAATATTCTATAAATTCTCCTTGTAAAATTACTTACATGCTGTAGTAAAGTTCACACTCAGAGAAAATTAAGTGGAGCTCTGTCAGTATTTCTGTCAGATATTTTAACAATCCTTAAAGGATTTTTCAGTGATTTTTGTCCCCCCTACAAAGTTTGACATCTCTTTAAAACATGGACACCAAAACTAATAGCCTCACCACCAGCATAGATCTCTTCTTACTTATTATTTACCTCTGGCATCGCCAAAGGGGCAAACAAAGAGCAGTTTGCCATTCCAATCTTGGGTAATAATTTAGACTTTAGGAAATGGGTTTTTTCCAGCCATGTTCCTCATCAATCTGTTTCTCTTTCTTTGTTCATTCTCCCCATCCAAAGGAAGTTTCAAAATCGTCGATCAATTTTGACCGAGTGTGATGGAGGCGTAAAAGTTTAACAGGAATTAAGTACCTACAAGTTTCATGAAAATAGGCAGCAGAGTAGAGGGAGGGAGGGAGGCCCTATTAATTCCCTCATTGAGGGAAAGACCTCAGCATGAGCTCAACCTTTGTTACAGGCTGGAAATCCACACGAGAAAGAGACCCTGGAAAGCAGCCATCATTAGTAGCACCGCTCATGGAACCACCTGTTTAATTAATTATTCTCTGCCGTAAAGAACCATTTAAAAACAGCTTCATAGCTTTCAATATAAGCTTGCTTGCAGTGCCCCCAGTAGGAGTCTTTGGAGACTGAGGTCAGTGGAAACTGGGCCCCACATGCATTGTACCTCTCATAATACATACCCCTAAAAGGCTGCTAGAGGTCTTTGGGCTCAGGCAGACCCAAGTGTGGGTCTGCCATATTTGTCCTTCTGTCACTCAGTACTTTACAACCACACACACTCTTCTGCCCTGCCACCATCAGGCTCTGTCTCCACTCCCCGTCTTCAGAAAGCCCAGAGCTGGTGACAGAAGTGATTGCATCCAGAGTCATGCTCAGGCCTTCTCTCTGTAGCTATTCAGTTTGCACAGAGCTGAGGAAAGCCTAAGAAAAATCAGCTGCCAAACTCAAAACAAATCTGTGCTGAGCATGTCTGTACTGAAACAGTGTCATGAACTGGCCAGGTTTATGGGACGGTAAGAGGGTGCATCCCTCAGGCTGGACTAGTTACTCACCCTATGCCAAATGTCAAGCCTTAACTCCAAAGCATATAAGTAGGTCTGAAGCAACACAGGTGTAAGGCTATTAGTTCCTTAGGTACAGGTAGAATAGTGTTCTTTTGCCTAATGTTGAGGGATAAAAAGACTTTTTATTGAAATCATAAATCATTCTAACCAAATATGTCAGAGAGTATTGCAAAACTAAAATTTAATCCCCTAAAAGAAAAAAAAAGAAATAGTAGCCAGTACTAGAACACTTTTATAGTCCCGTATTTCTAAGATCCTGCATCACAAAGACACTTAAGAGAAAAATAAGAGACATTACTGGGGTGGAGAACGGGAAAAATTAGTCTCTGCTCCTTTGTTCACAAGCTGTGCACCACCTGCAGCATTTACTCCATACACACACTCACTCTTGAATAACTTGCTTTCTGCACTCCTCCCATGTGTTTCATAGAGTGCACAGGAGATGTCCCATGGAAACAGACATGTTTGCAGAAGGAAAGGGCCTGGCAGGTGAGTATGAACAAGGGTAGTTAAGGAAAGGGCATGTAAGAAGCCAGGGAAATAAAAGATGATTCAGGACACAGCTGGGGGAGCACCCAGACTGGGGGGAGACTTGCAAGGGGACCTTGTGACCATGCAGAGCTCATGGTCCACATCAGGTTTGGCAGCATGCCCCATTCCTGAGAAGGAGAAGGTGGCTTACTTTGTTTTTGTAAATTAAAAATCTCATACGCACAGTAAGCTTCTTACATTAAAAGAATACTAAAATTGAAAAGTCGAGTACTTAAAGGCTGGGAAATTATGGAAAATATCACAGTACTGAATGCTGAAAGGCCACGTCACAATGCAAGAAATTGGGTAGAAGTCAGACTATACTGGAAACTTTAGCTTTGGCATTTCAAAATGTTTTGAAGCAAGAGAAAAACTGAGGCAGCTGTAACATGAAGTCAGTAGCAACCTCTATTCCCACCCAGGTCCATAACTTCCACTTAGTTTCTGATTACATTTTTTTGCATGTTCTTAAAACTATAAAGAAGATCTTGTAACATTTTACGAACATCAAAGGATTAACCCTATTAACCTTCCCTGAACAACACATTATTCCCATTTTACAGATAGGGAAATCAAGAGATTAAGCAACATTTCCAGTGCCAGAAAACATGGTGGTAGCAGACACAGAAAATCACTGCTCTTCAGCACCGTGATTTAACGGGAGACAATGGTCCCCCATGGGATATCTGTGTCAGAGCTTTGAAGAACATCAAACTATACTAGGCTGTCAACAGAGATAATGGAATAATTGTCAACTGTGTCTATGATGCTTTTCCTTTCAGGAAAGCTGGATTAGGATCTTCAGCCAATTAAGTAATGCTGTTGACTAGGCAATCATAGATGTTTATGAGACAGATAGAAAGGAAACTACAAGGGAAAGAATAATTAGGGTCTCAATTAAATACTAAAACCATTCTACCACTTACAAGGAGCTGAAAAAACTTTGCCGGAATTGAAACTTGCTATGTCCTAACCCTTATATTGAGACTTGATCATTCAAACATCAGGGCTGGGAACACAAACCTTCAGGCTTCCAGCAATAATCCTGAAATAACACTATACAGTTCATTGCATTTGCCCATGCAGTTAACACACTTGCTCTTCAGAACTAAGCACTTTATATGGAACCAGAGCACAGAGTAATATTGTTTAAAGATATAAATAGAATGTAAAAACTATATGCACGAGCACACACACCTCTTCCCAAAAATCAGCCCACTTGAAAGAAAGTCCATCAATAGTTTGTAAATGCAAGGGAATTATTTTCTTATTTGCATTTGACTGGCTTCAAAATCTTGTGCTAGTATTTCTAACCAAAATAAATTACTTTTAAATTAACCTGTTACAAGAAAAATATGACCATTCAACCAAAAATTCTTCTTAAGTGGGGCTTCCCAACACTTTTATAGGTTTTTGATGTTCTCCATGAACTGGGTGCAGAGCTAGATTTAACACATAATCACTGCTAGATAAAAGCATAGAATAGGTTCAAGAGTCTGTAAAGTCTGTACTTCTGTGCTAGAACAGTAAAAGCAAATTGAGGCACACAGCAACAGTGTTTCATATGAAACAGGAGACCTTTTTTCTAGGGTAAGGGAGTCCAAAGGGCATCTCCTTTTACAGACCTCCTCAACAGACACTTTGGTAACTCCCAGGTGTGGCATCCCTGAGGTATTGTAAATATCTCACTTCATTCCCCCCTTAAGAAGAAATACACCTTATAAATTTAAGATTCAGACTTTGGTCTGAAATCAGTTTCTCCTTGTTTCTCCCCCATTCTTCTCTCTCACACACATACACATAAACACAGAAATCCGTATATTTTGGATGCCTCTTCCTAGGTTATGCAAATGTTACCTACCCTTTGCAAATAAGGGTGTGAATTCCATTGTAACAACAAGGGACAGCCCATCTACCATTCCTAAAGCTCTGCCATGTAATAGGAAAGGCCAAGAGGGAAAAAAATCAGTTCTATATTATCAAATT